TTTGTTGCAGACAAAAGCACAAGTTTGTCTTCTTCCACTTGATAGCTCAGTATCATATTTATGTGTTCCCCAAAAGGTTTGCGCATTTTTTTCTTAAAAGTGGTGGCTTTAAATTCCATTCTGTTTTAAAACCAAAAGATGTATTTTGCATGTCCACTAAATTCTAAAAGGAATCTGAAAGGATTAAACAGTATAGTATTTGATGTATACTACACCAAAGTATCATTTATGCATGTATTTTATAGACATACAACTCAATGACAGAAGTTAAGTACATCTCATGCAATCCAAGATATAGGCTTCTGGATTCTCCTCACAGTACATACCTCTTTATGAATTATGCCACAATAATAAATACACTCAAAGACCAAAAACCAAATAGGTGTAAATATTCCTGTACACAGGAAAGAGTATTTTACATTCTACTTGTCTAACATCATATTTGATACGCTCGGTATCAAATGGTAACCACTTTGATAATCTTTTAACAACACTTTTCAGAAATACGTCATGAAGTAATGTCTGGAAAAGCTAATCATACTTTAAGGTAGAAGCATTCATATGTTGAGAGATAAAGCAGCCAACATGTAATTGATTCTAAGACTAGTACTACACAGTATATATAGATGGTATTCATAAGTGCTACAAAGGGGTCAGACATCTAAAAGCCCAATTTCAGAGCTAGAAGACTACATATTCAAAGAAAGCCCCTCTCTCCATACCTACAAAATACATATCATTCCCTTGTTATGGATAGTTATGAACAAGTTTTTTCACTGCTAAATGGAAGTGAAATTTAAAAGCCATAAATAGTAACACTGAATGAAAAACATTTATTAGCACTTCCAAGAGCCAGAGATGAGCTAAATGCTTTCCTATCAAAAACTTCCATGAATCATACATTAGTATTAGTTCCTTGAGGTAGAGATAAATAAAAACTGCTGCCAAGATTCACTAGTCTGTAATTTCTCTGTGTGATGCAGAAGCTAATTCTGCATTCTGGTTTCCTACAGAAATTAATTTTTATCTTTTGTATCAAAAGGTCTTAGCTTTTGTGAATTGCTAAAGCTTTAGCACAATAGTCAACTCTTGGTCCTAATTTCTGGGCTAATAAGAATGGCAATACTGCAGAAGAGAAGAAAAGAAACTTCATCTATCTATCATTCATTAAAGTTCATGTTTAGGTAAAAAGAAGAAAAACAGAAAAATAAAAAAAATATTGGTTCTAATGGGACCTGGAAAGGGGGCACGGGTTATAAGACAAAGAATTTACACAGCATCAGAGTATTCTCTCTATCTAGCTTAACCCAAACTTCGATGTATTGACATCACATTTTTCAGTTCTCTCTCTAAATCACAGAACTCCAAACTCTACACTTTATAATTAGTTTTAAATCCAGCAGCTATGCTGTTGACACACATTAAAAGCAGAGACCCCCATGTTGGCAGATTGCTGTTTGTATGCTCCAGCACCTTTGTCTCATAAAACATGACTCCAGGTGTGACCTTAGGCTGGGTCTACAAGGTATGCTGCCACCATGCTTGTCCCAACAGGGTATTGCCTACATGTCTGTGACAAGGGCATACAAACATGACCCAAAGACCAGGACTACTCTGCCCTGGGGAAGACTCACCTAGAGTGCTGTGTGCAGTTTCAGGTGCCACAATGTAAGACAGACGTCAAACTATTAGAGAGTGTCCAAATGACAGAAACAAAGATGGTGAAGGGCCTGGAGGGGAAGCTGTACAAGGAACGGCTGAGGTCACTTGGTCTGTTCAGCCTGAGGGGAGACCTCATTGCAGTTACAAATTCCTCATGCATGAGGGGAAGAGGGGCAGGCACTGATCTCTTCTCTGTAGTGACCAGTGACAGAGCCCAAAGGAATGGCCTGAAGTTGCATCAGGGGAGGTTTAGGTTGAATATCAAGGCAAGTTTTTTCACCCCAGAGGGTGTTTGGGAACTTGAACAGGCTCCCCAGGGCAGTGGTCACAGCACCAAGCCTGAACCAAGAGTTCAAAAAGTGTTTGGACAGTGCTCTTAAGCACATGGTGTGACTCTTGGGGATGGTGCTGAGCAGGGCCAGGAGCTAGACTTGATCTTTAGGGTTTCCTTCCAATTCAACATATTCTATGATTCTGTGAAGTACATACAAGCTAACATCTGTGTTCTCATCTGGATTTTTAATGTTCCAACTTGACCACAGGGCAGCAAACCACCCTATGTGTGGTTTCCTAAAGCCATCTTTCTCCATTTTCACTTGTCTGTTCCAAGAAATATTAGCAAATTCTTACACATGTGGCTGAATGGCAACTTTTAAGAGTTCTACTTTGACAAACACTTTAGCAAACCATTCATGTGAGTGTGCATTCTAATAAGCCTTCCAGTAAAGCCTGCACTTACATACATACATAATTTTTCATATGAGAAAGAGAATTGCACACACATTAAAAACTAATTCCCAGTTACAAATTAGTAGAAACTTTGAGTTTTAATGTTGTACATTTTACTCTGGGGCTGTCCAAAACATTGTAAATCAGGCAGGCAACACTGCAGCCACATGCAAAAAATGATCCTATGCCTGCTTGTAAAGTAACTACCACTGTCCCTGGTCTCATGTTGGATCACTAAAAAGATTAGCATCAAGACTCCTTTTGAAGATATCTCCTCTCCAATATCTCAGTGGTTCATAAAGCCCTGCAAGAAAGCACTCTCGGTGTTTACAATCAGTACTGCTTTGTGACAGATATCAAACTGGATCTGGATTCTTTCAACCACCATCCTGTACTGTTTGGAAACTCACACAGTGAGAAGACTCAGATGAACTTTTTGACATCTCCCACATGGATAGAGGGCTTGGAGGATGCTGTCAAAAAGACTGATCATTACTCTGCTCACAGTGGACTTCCTCATCCCAAACTAGTCATTGGAAATCTAGGGTTACAAAACTCCAGTGGCTGAAAGTTATTCTCTCAAACACAGCTGTAGGCTTATCTATTTCATCAACTCACACAGTAACACGAAACTTCTACACGCTTTTGCTAAACCAGATTTGTCTTCCACAGTCCAGAACCACTGGTTAATCTGGAAGTAAACAGTTGCAGTGATGAAGACTCAAATTCTCTAACCCTGTCTTTTTCTTCATATGACCAGATATCCAGAACAGTAAAAATTTATCTTGGAGTACCTTTCTGGAGTACTTGTCCCAGACACAAGGCTACATGCTCCATTCTGTCCATGTTGTGCCATTCTCTGATAAACAACTTGAGGGTACCAGCGCTCCCTTTGTAGGTGAGCAAGAACAAAATGAGCAGAAAGCAGAAACAAGGTTTGTTTCCTTGTGTCAGGCCACATGTAACTGAAAGGTAGAAGGAGCATGTTACTGTTATCCATGAGAGCTACCATGTGGTGTTCCATGAAGGGGTTCACTCAGAGTTCACAGTTCAGAAATCTGTGGTCTGTGTGAAGGTCTGTGGGATAGCTTTCTTCCAGACAGTTTCAAAGTTCAGGCCTAATGGGGATGCCAAAGCCAAGGAACCAGACTAAATCTAATCCAAAGTAAAAACCCTAAAGCATGATGACAGTAGTTACAGCAACCTCAGCAACAACTGCTTTCATCTACTCATCTGCTTCTTTTGTGATTCACTACTCATTAATGCAGACAAAACCTAAAACCTTAATTTAATACCTTAAAAAAAAATCTACACGTACTAAAGTACTTCAAAATGAAAAAACAGTAAATGCAAACCCAAATGCGGTTCATGTCATTGTGAAAAGTAATTATAACTTCTCAGTACTATTCAGGAACATTCTGCATCCTTGTTGCATGCAAAATTGTCTCAAGCTGGGGAATTTAACTTAATTAAATTTATTGCCAATTACAAAAGCTTTAATTAGTGATTTGGGTAGTGAGAAACGAGACAAATAATAAAACATCCAACCAAAGAAAATATTTTCATCCCTCTTTGTCTGTCTCCACTTCAGGCACCTCTTTTTACTCCTTTCTAATCCCCAGTCCCCTTGATTTTGACATTATATTACACTCAATCCCTTTGGAAAGGCAGTGGAAGGGTGGGGCAGTAGAGTGAGGTTAGCACATAGTTACCTGCTGTTTTTGACTCTTCTATTTTATTGCTCTTTTCAACTGCTTTAGTATGGATCCTCCACCAAACATCCCTTTGGGTATTGTACCAGCATGGTACTGTCCAGCATGGATTCTTCCATTGTTTGCAACCCATTCAGAGGTGTGCCATTATCTGTGCTTTCTTTTGCGTGTTCTCATGTATTTCTTGTATACAAGAAATACCCTTCAAGCCTACTCCATTATTTCCCCTGTATTTTCATTTCTGCATTGTTTCGTGTCTTGCATCACCTTTGTGCCTCCTTCTGTGTCTTCTTTCACATCTCCTCATTTCACATAACTCCTCACACCCCTCCTCCTGTATCTGCATTTGTGCCCCCTGACACATTTTCCTTTGCATTTATGCTCTGTTGTGGTGTTTCCTGTCTCAAGTAGGTTCCAATCTTTCTTAAGTCTGTTTTCTCAAAGGTGCCATATTCTGTCTGGTTCCAGTTTAGATTTTGCAGTGGATCCATACTGTCTTTCACTGAGCTGGCTTGAAGCAGCTGTGCCCAGCACAGGGCATGTTCTCCTCTCAACCCTGCAGCTCACTAAAACCCCTACCATTTACGCCACATACAATTTTTAAGATAGGAATCTTGGCCATAATGATCTATGGATTCCTGATTTCACATAAATGGACAAACAGCAATGGGCACTAGCACAAAAAAATCCCTTGTCATTAGTACTTGAAAAACAAAATTAAGTTTTTTATGATTGTTCTTTTCTTAAGAGCTACTTACCCCTACATTAGTATAAGTGAGAGATGTATTAATTTCTAAAGACCAGATGCCATGACAACATATATGGGTTTTTTAAAGTATACCAGTTCCAGAATATGGGAAGACTATACACTTCTGAAATTAATTAAATTTTACTTACCATAACAGAATCAAGCTTTTGTTTTACTTTCTGCATTCTCCTTGATGCTCTTGCAACACTGACAAACTGATCTGCTGGAGACATCACTGAGTTTTTTTGTACAGGAATTTCAGGAAAACTGCTAAGGAAGTGTGGCCCTCTTGGTGCACTTGTGGTAAGTGATGAACTGAGATCTCTTACAAGTTCAGCTTCCTGTTGTGCAACTGTAGAAATAACCAATGTTAATGTCTCAGGTGAAATCTTACATTGCCATGGGGAAAAAAAATAAAGTATCACAGTCATTTTGTCAGCCATGTCTTCAGTGAAGCACCATCAGAAACTATACCAATAGTGCTATAGGGAAAACCTGAAAGTGACATGAAATTTTCCCCTTACTACCCCATTTTCCCCCTAACTCTTCTGATCACAATATCTCACTTCAGTTATCTGTGTTCAGTAATCTCTCATACAGAACTGGTATTTTTGTATTGCTTAGAAACAATAGTGTTCCTCATGCAGAAATATTTGCATTGGGTAGGGGGAAAGAGTAGAAGAAAAAGGAATTTTTCAAAGGCAATAAAGTTATAAAGCCTGCACTGAGTTCAAGTCGGTGACATTTCACATTTTTTCCAGCCTAGTTCAAATGAGTTTATGATGCCTGAGAACTTTATTATATTATACATGCATAGCATACATACATTATACAGGCACAGGACACACTGCCTGACAAGCTGACTTTTGCAATTCTTTGTCTCAAGATAACAAAGGTTAAAAGAATTTTTCATGGAAGTTCTGCCCAGGATATTAATAAAACTGTTGGTGTATCTAAAACACATGCTGTCAGAGCCTTAAAAATTGTGTCAGTGACCAAAATTAGTATTACTTTATGTTTAACTATTTCAACACTATGGCAGTATGACTATTTTCTGAAACCAAAGAAGGTGCTTTTAACCAAAAAAGGAACATAAAGATAGTAACCAATGATACAAAAAAAGACCACAACCTATGCAAAATCTTACAGCCAGCAGTTGAGCAGTCAGAAGACACAAATAACTACCACTGTACTGTGTGATCTCTAAATGCCTATGTACACACATATATATATATTTCAAACTAATGTGTTAAGTTTTTTAAGACTCACTGACCTCTCAACAATCAAAAAATTCAGGAGAAACCCTTCATCCCCCAAATATTTCATTGTTTTTTAAAATACCGATATCCTACTTAATTGAAGTACAGCACTACATATTGACTGCAAAGTCACTCCACTTAGTGCTCCTGCAAAAGTCAACCAATTCAACAAATAACCTACACTGAGATTTTATAGGAGTCATCCTATTAGTACATATTACTTAAAAAGCCAGTGTATAAAGACAGGATTAGCTTTCCAGATCTATGTCACTTGCAAATGTAATTCATACCAAAAATTACTGCATAATTCACATTAACACATTAACTCTCTAGATGCAAATGTCCTTAACTGAACGCAACTATCAAAAAATCCTGCAAAGGACAATCTGAATTTTATTTTGTATACCATAATTTCAAACTTAGCATTTATTACTATCTTCTCTTCAATGTAACATAGGGAATAAACATATCTCTGACATAATCACATCACAACTATAACAGCTATTTATAAGAAGTTTACACACTCTCATTCATTTCTATACAGCTCCTCTACATTATTTTGTAACATAGCTGGCACAAACTACTCAGATTCCAATTTAGCTACTAATTAGTTTTCCAAATAATTGTATTTTCTGGCCCCATAATCCACCTTGATATTGCAAAAAGGCTTCTGTATGATGCTGCCTATATATGATAAAGTGCTGCAAAAATCACACAGTATGAAATATAAGAAACTTGAGGGACCTCTGGTGATTTTGGCACAGCCAAAACCCTTGATTAAAGCAGCATCACATAGAACAGGTTGTGCAGGATCATGCTCAATTCAATTTCATGCAGATTCAGTTCAATCTCCCAGAAAAAAGATAAGCATTATCATAAAATTATTTTTTCTCTCAAAAGAAGTACAAATACTAACAGATCGCTTCTAAAAATAAAATACTAATAGCAAGTATCAAGAAAATTTGTACTGTACCTTTATAATCATAAATATATACAAGTATTGGATGGTTTTGACCAAAGGCACAAAAAGACACCATATGTTCGTGTGGATGAAAAGCAACGTCACGAAGTGGAGATGTGAAGGAGAGTTCAGAATATACGGCCACTTGATCTCCTGCAGAAGTGAAATAAATTTATTAATGCCATGGAAAAACACTTGAAACATTCAATACAGCAAAATAACAGTGGGCTGAATCTTGTATTATTGCAATGTTTGCCACTGTAAATAAATGTTCTTCAATTTCCTGATTGAAAAGTAGTATTTTGGCATAAGACAAAGGAAATATTGCATGCTTTTAAGTTTTTCAATAAGTCAGAAAAGTTAGTGCTGTTGCAATAGCTGCAGGAAATGCCAGAGGAGGATGCACCAGGTTAGATGAGTTCTCCTGTTCTGATAAGCACGTTCTGGAAAGGTGGCGTTCCACAGTATTTGTTTGTGCTTGCATTGTACAAAGATAGCCATCTTACTTGTGGATTCAGCTATATAATACTGATAACAGGAGTAAAAGTTGAGCAGAGAATTAAGAGAATTATTAAAAATATAAATAAAATTAGCTCTTCAGCTGATAGCACTATAAATGCAAATACAGTGTGCAAACAAAAGTCAAAATCCAATTAAAACATACTAATAACAAAGTTCTTCCTTCAATTTTTTTTTTTTTTTTAAAGTTTTCAGGTAAATTATGTAGCTGCAGAGATGCAAGCTAATGTAGTTGGATACATGGAAAGAAATTCCAAACAGAACTGTAAGTTATCTGCCAGTTACTTTTTTATTTAAAAATTATATAGATTACAATTACAGACAATACAACATCATCAAATCCAAAATGGTATTCTGCTACTTTCTGCTCTTATTTTTTTCCTCTTACCTCCTGTACAAGAAAATCTACTCTGCATTTTTGTCATGTTTTTCAGAAAGGCTTTGGTAGCCATTTTAAAACTCCTTGGCAACTAATTCACAGAGAAATCTTATATACCATACACCAAAAATATTCAGTCTCTGACCACCCACCAGAGAGATGAAGTGGTTTTGAACAAGAGCCTGATTCTCAAATCTAAACAACACAACAGAAAAACTAACCTGACCTAAAACATTTTTGTGCATTCCATCTTAGGATGCTCACCACAAGTAAAGAGTTGCAGTATACAAAAATCTGAGCCTCAGGTGCTCCAGTCATGCTGGATATTACAAATGTTACCTCTAATTTCCTTTAGAGAATTAAATCTCAGATATTAATAACAGCTACTTAAAAGGTGGAGCTAAAGCTCTAGGATTTAAGAACGTCTTACTGAAGTTTTATTCCGTATCAAAAGTGTTTCAATAAACCTTAAAGTATCCTTTCTCCTTCAGCTTTGATAATTTGGCTTAAGCTCATAAAATAATTAGTTACCTGTTTCTGGATTCCAAACATAAGCCTTTCCATCTTCACTTCCTGAAAACAGGAATGTACCACATGGTGTTAAGGTGCTGTGAATTTTTTCTCTGTAATTTGTGGCACCTACATATTTCTTTGTTGCCAAGCTAAAGATAAAGAAAGTTTGTAAATATTGAAGATACATTCAGAATAGACAATGTAACTTAAGTTTCAATTCCCCCTCTATTCCTCAGAAAAATCAGTACACCTTGCATCCCAAACAGATATGCAAGCACACTTTCTGCAGAGTGCAGTATTTATTTACCCTTTATTTTCCCTAACCTTCATAATGCACCTGACAGTATAGATGAAAATGTACACCCTTGTCTTTCAGCAGAAAAAGGAAATCCTCAGATCTAGAGAATAGATAGAGATGCAGTAATTTGCACTATCTTGATCCTGGGTTTTGCATAAAATAGGGAAATTGGCACTATTACTCCAAGCTCTGTCAGAAAAGTCTTCATAATGCTTCTTGAGTTTGAATGATTAAACGTACTCTCTTCAGCTCTTCAGACTAATGTCTCCTTGGTCAGAAAACTAGCTGTAGCATCAACGAATTTCAGATGTAAGTGTTGATTTACTATTAATATATTTAATGTTATTTTGCAACTTAGGCATCCTATCTTTTTTCACTGAAACACAGTCAGCACAGTAATAATGATCTACTGTCAAACACTCTGTAGGCATCAAGTAGGAGAGAATTCACAAAAGGATGGAAAGAAGCATAAATCAGTTTGAGTGAGGGTATTTTAAACATGAAGCACAGCCTGGATATCAAAGATATCAAAATTCAACATGGAGACTAACCCAGCAGGAGTATTACAATGCAGAATTTGAGGCAAGAGTAACAGCAATAGGCCACCATAGCCCTCAAGGAGAGAAGACAGTATTATTTCACATTTGTTACTGCAAAAACAGCAGAGGTATGCAGGGAGAAGTGCAGTATATTTAATAGGAGAAGAAAATTATTTTAAACAATATTCCAAATAAATATACTGTAGATGAAATTCTATTTGGCTACTATGAGAAAAGGAAGCCTTAATGATCCCAGTGCAAGACCATATTAACCCAAATAAGAATTCTAGCTGTATGAATAAGAAAGATAGTATCTCTGAGATGTCAGTAGAAGAGCCCTGCAAGATGTAAAACTAACCTTCATATGAAACCCTAAGGAAAGGACTGAACCAAAATGAAATCCCTGATCACATACCTAAATGACAGAACAGCAGCATTATCCAAAAAGATCAAAAAAGCAAGTTGAAAGAGGAAAGTTAAGAGCAACTAGCTGTCAATCAAAGTGAATTGTGCTCATCTGTGACCTCCACCCCCTCTTTTCTCATGCAGGGAATGAACAGTTAATGCTGACGTGGAAAATTATCACTGCTGGGTATCTGACCCTGTGGTTTATTGATAGACTTAAGTCAATGTAACTGTGGGCTGTGGTCAAAGTAGCAGTCCTGGTGGTGCCCTCTCCACCCTTATTTTCCCAGGCTCTCCCTCATTTCTTCTAGTGTTTGGGCAGTGATCAGATGAGTTTGATCAGATAGTTGATTAAAATGAAAATTAATCATTTGTATTTGTGGGCTAATTTTTAGTTGGATCAGCTCACTGATCTGACTTAGCCCGCATCAAAAGATCTCTATAGATGATGAAAAAGGAATGCTAGGAATACACGGCCAAAGGTGTGGGAGATTGCAGGAGATGATACGTCCTATGGATAAATTTGCTTAAAATAATTGTGAAATTGCACCCCATATTAAACCCTTCTTAGAGATTAATATGCACGCTCATCTTTCCTTCTCAAACTAAAACTCTCTGAATGTTTTAGAAAGAGGAGCAACAAAAGAACACTGCCTCAAAAATTACAGGTTCCCTCTCTTAATCCAGTATTTTTGTGCTTTGATTAAGTGGACAGTTTAGCTTCTAGCATGGCATTATAATTTATCACTTGCAGTAAAAGAGAAAAGTGCACCATAAACCAGTAGAGTCCTCAGCTAGTTCAATCCACTACAATAACAGAATTGCTAAGTTTGGAAAAGAGCTTCAAGATCATTAAGTCCAACTGCTAACAGAGCATTGTCCTGTCCACTACTATGCCGTGTACCTAAGGGCCACATCTACACATCTTTTAAATGCCTCCAAAGATTTTCTGTGTGGTGAGGGGAAGAAACAAACCTATGAAATTAAGGATGAAGCATTTTAGAAAAGTTATTTATATCTTTAATGTGACTTTCCAGAACAGAATGTTCAAGTGCATCTTATCAATGTATGTGATTGGTGAGACACTCTGCTCACTCCCACCCAATGGAAAGACAAAAGGGAAAGGACATAAACTGAAATATAGCTAATTTTGTTTAAAATAAGAAAAAAGTCTTTTATTTTGAGGGTGAATGAACACTAGAATATGTTGCTCATAGAAGTTGTAAAATGTTCATCCTTCAAGATATTAAAAATACAATTGTATAAAGCTTTGAGTAGCATGCTGTTGTGATTTGATTATTGGGTTGAACTGGTCATTCTCCAATATCAAACTCAAGTGACTCTATAATCTCTCTGCTTTTTATTTTTGTTTGTCATTAAAAAATCATGCTTATGCCAATTCAGAATAAGATCATCAAAAATTGCAAAACTATCCACAGCCTGCTTAATAAACCACAGTATGTACATCACTGCATTTTTTAGTATTTATGATGACAACCATCTTCCATTTCATCATCAAAATATCCTTCCCAGAGTCATAAAAATGCAAAACTAACACACAAATGTTACCACTTCCAAGTCCTTTTCATACTCAGATTGCATTTTGAAAGGCATTTCAATCTTTAGAAGACTAACATTGCATTCTTCATGCCACTTTAGACTTCCAAGTAATCTAGTAATTTTTAGATATTCTATTCTAAAAGACCCAATATCACCCAAAAGGTCTGCAACACAGCAGTGTTTTGAAATCATTTCCTAACGCTAACATTTCTATCCTTCATTATTAGGACATCTTTTTTCTCCCCAACTACACAACTAATACCTTTATGGTATTTTATTTCCCCATGTAAATTTTAAAACAAAGGAGATACACATTTGTCACCAAAATTACGAACATTCTGAGATCCATAATTCTCAGGGTACTGTCTTTGGCATGGATTAATAAATGCCTTCCGTTCGGATGCACTTCCAAATGATTTATTGGTGTTCCTTTAATATCATTTTCTTTTATTTCCTACAGAAGGATGGAAAATAATGAAAATTATATAACTTTGTGTTTTAAACCTCATGTTTTTACACATTATTGCCCATTTTTCTCTTGCAATACTCTTTTTCAGCTCAATTCATTTTATTTGGTTAAGGAAAAACTTTGTTCCTATATTAAAGCATTACACCTAAACATCAACTTTTTACAACCATAAGGCAGATTCTGTTGTGACTAAATTTTAAAAAAGTTAAGCTGACTTAATTAAAAAGTCAGCAGAAATACTGATTGAACATTAGGGCTCTAAGGTAAGAACAAAGGTGTTTTTTAAAGTCTGTGGTCTATTTATTTTTCGTCTCTAGAGAACAAAGCATTTACCTGTTAAAACTGTGCTATGAAACCCCAAGTATTTTAATGTTTTATATAGAAAAATGTTACAGAATCACAGAATCCTATAATATCCTTAGTTGCAAGGGCCCCACTAGGAACACCAAAGACCAGCTCCTGACCCTACACAGCACAGCCCCAAGAATCACACCATGAGCCTTGAGAGTCCAAATATGTCTTGAATTTTTTCAGGCTTGGTGGTTTGATCACTTCCCTGGGGAGTCTGTTCCAGTGCCTAACCCAATTAAGTTGCAAAAGAATTTAAAAAAAATGAAGTCAGTGCATCACTGCACATTGTATCAGTTCTTCTATACCAATTTTTAAAGAAAATACAACTCTACAGTTAAACAAAACGTAAAATATTTAAAAAATTTAATTCAAATCTACTTATTCAATTTGGAACAGTTCACATAAAAATTACAATGCTAGTTTAAGAAACCTGTTTACCTTATTGATCTTCCAGTGTTGAAAAAGGTGTGGAGAACTTTCTTTGATAGGTGTATCCCAAACCATTATCAGTCCTGAACTATCTCCAGAGAACATGTGGTGTCCTGAGAAATAATATCTTATAAGTAAAATACCACCCACAAAACCATAATACAGAAAACAAGAAACAGCCTTTTGTTCTCTCATTTTTTTGTATAGGCAAATACCAATTCTTACATCTCTTTTGCTGTAATACACTCATTGCAAATGCATTTTGCTCATATTTCATTACATAAACCAACACCATAAATCTGGATGTAGCATATACATTAAATACTGAGATGCAAAACATATTTTTTAATGTTATAAATTTTTATTCATATTCTAAAACCATTAAAAAGTGAACATTTACAGCTCAACAATCTCCACATGATAGCTCAATGATACTTACTTATACATTCAGTAAGACAATTTTGAATGAGAACAAATAGTTTCCCAACACTTGTTCTTTAAGCAAAAATATTTATTCTTTATAAAAATACAGCTTTCCTCTTTGTAGTACCTGCTCCAGTGACTAAAATGGACTGTTAATGATGTCACTAATACTAGAAAAACTCAAACTTTAATTTTCACCCATCTTCAACTCTTCCTCCACTAGTACATGTCAGTACAACATTCACTTTCAGCTGTTAATCTGCCAGTTAAGAGACATGACTCACAATGGTCAAACCTCTGTCCTTTTCTCTCCGTGCTTGCTATTCTCTGTCAAAACTGAGAAGTTCATCACCTTCCCACTTCTCCAGTCTAAAATTCTCACAATCTAATTACTACTACCTCATTTCCTTTATCAAAGAATCATAGATTGATTTGTGTTGAAAGGGACCTTAAAAATCATCTAGTTCTGACTTCCCTGAAATAAGGAGGAACACCTTCCACTAGAACAAAACACAGACCAACACGGCCTTGAACACATTCAGGCATGGGGCACCCACAATTTCTCTGGGCAGCCTGTCTCAATGTCTCAGCACTCTCCCAGTACATAATTTCTTCCTAAGAAGAATACACTGCCTCCATGAAATAAAGAAAACTAATAGCACTCAAGTTTGTCTTCAATTTGAAAGACAGCTATTTGCAAAAGCAATATTAGCAACATACCTTCTGCATCAAAACAAAGTGTGTTGATGAAACTTTTATGGCCATCGAGCTCCTGTAGCAGTTGCCCATGGATTTCTTTCACATTTGCATTCCAGATTCTAATCACTGAGTCGTAACATCCTGTCACAACCAGTGAGTCAGTAACTGGGTGGTATTTGGCCGTGTACACAAATGAAGGATGAGGGAAAACTCTCACTGCAGATGCTGCCTTCATTTCTATTTTCCACATTCTGAAAGGAAACAAAGTTAGAATTTCTGCTGTATAAAGCAGTCACACACACACAGGTGTAACTGATGCCATGTTTTGTGCTATCAGTTCTAGAGGCAAATGCTTGCAAATACTTAACAATACCTGTTTATCCCACCAATTTGTTCCACCTCTATTTAATCCTTTAATATGGTACTTTCTAACAAGAATTAAGAAAAATTTACTACTTTACACAGTATTTGGTCTTCAAAGCAAATGAATGACTACTTACTTAATGGATATATTTCTCATTTTAAAATACTCATAAAGAATTCCATGGAATGAATTTGTTTCTTTCTTTCAGGAATTACAACCAAATTAAGCCTTTCTTGGGTATCATTCATTTAAAACAATATTAGAATGAGAAAAGCCATAAAGGAACATTTAGACCCACTAAATATAAATAAAATCCCAGAAAATTTTAGAATAATAATTCTCAGCCACACAGCGATCATGATCACAAGGATGCTTGCATCACATAAATTCACTTCTTACTATTTATCTATTTTCTATACTTTGCTACCCATAGCTCTAAGATCAGATTTTTCTAAGTGTTTCCTATTTGATTGTATGCATTTTATTAGTGAGCCTTCCCCAAATATGAGTTCAAAAAGAATAAAACAGTACCTGGGTCACTAAATACAGGTGGGCAGCACATTACACACAGTATTCAGTTAAAAAATGTTATTGAATTGTTTTAGTGGCACCCTTCCAGGTGAGGCAACCACTTCTGGTGGCTATTGCAGAATTCTAAGCTTACTCAGAGGTGACTTAATTACAAAATTGCAACCCTTTAGAACACAGCAATTAATTTGCAATTTGATGCGGAAAGGCCACGAGGAGTTTACCTATCTTTTAGAATGGTTTTAATCAAACAAAATAAAATTAATTTATTGCTCACAAATAATGTGGGACTGAACCCTGAAGGCCTGAGGATAACAGGGAACACTATATAAAGAATTCACCTAAGTTTATGAATTTACCTTCACGTTGCCTTAGAACTCAGTATGAGATAATCCAAATAATAAACTGATAATAACTTTAAAGCAGTAGGGTGCTGAGACATTTTAAGGAGCTGAAGGCAACTCACAACAAATACAGGAACTAATAACTCGTACAGTGACTGCACATAGTACACAGAAAAGGTGGCAGGCCACTGCAGTTTCAACTTGCTGCCATGAAAGTTCAAGAATCCAAGAACTGAGGAACAGCTAGGCCTTCTTATAGGCAACATAAATTACTGAAATTGATATTTATCTCAATATAAAAAAATCTTACTTAATCCACTCCCAAATTAAAAAAAAAGTGCTGAACTCTCAACACATTCTTTTTATGCCTACATACAAGCAGCAAAAAAAACCTAAAACAGTTCCACATGTACAATATATCATTTAACAATTCTTCTGGTATTTCAATTATGCAACTGCCTGTAGCATTACTGAATTGCATGACAGAAATAATAGATAGGGATCTGAAGGTCTAAAAAACCCCAAAAAGCTCTACAAAAACCAATGAAGTCGCTCACAATAAAACTGTACAGTGTTCCAGCAATATTTCCATGTGTACCTACAGCTTTGAGGGTTTTGGATTTTAAATCTGAACAGACCACACTAACATTAACACTGAAGGGAAGTACATTTTAATTGTAGAGGATTTGATTTAAGAAATAACAGTATCAAAATTCATTTTTATCAATTTAATCTGAATTACTTTACTAAGTGTAAAAAAACAAAAGAACACCATCAATATACATATATGCAGTGTAGTAAATTTACACACATAACTTGAATCTTAATTTTCGATTTCCTGCCTAGTGCTCAAGTCTGCTAACTTAATACTGCATTCAGAGTATGGCAATTTCTCCAGGAAAAGAATATTATGACTGTCTCAGTGTCTTCTTGAAATACAAACTCTTCTAGTTTTTTACTGCAGTGTAGATTTAGACACTAGAGTTTTAGGAAAAGCTTTGGTTTCAAATACAAACACATTAGAAATACTAAATATAGTGTAACTGTTTAAGGCAATCACAATTTTTATATTATTTTAGTCACACAGTAACCAAATCTTTATTTATAACATTATAGAATAATTTGTAGTAAAACACTGAATTGGACCACTTTCTTTTCAACTTCTGATGGTATCTGCCAGAATATGTCATCATACTGACCTGACAGTGCCGTCAGAGGAAGCAGTAAGAAGGTACTGATTGTCTTTTGACCAACAAAGATCATACACTATATTAAGGTGACCATAAAATTCTCTCAGGAACTGTCCAGAAGGAATCTCATACACTAGGGAAGTTGAAATAGAAAAATAAGTTTTTTAATTATTTACAGTCAAACAGATGTAGCTACTAGAGCCAAAGTTTAGACTAATCTCAGGTTGATTTTCTGCTAGCATAAATCAACTCATTTTCTTCTCATTTTGAGGCGACAGGATAAAATAATTGCTAGATATGAACAGACAGCAAGCATCTACTTCCATCTAGTGGTTCATGGATGTCACAAATGTCTTACCCCTTAGGAAACACCTTGTCTGCATTAAATTATTAAAACCAGATTAGGATTATGACATGTTTTTTAAATTTTGCAACTAATTGACCAATCTTAGAAATATTTTAACACTGAGATAATTTTCTGGGGCTGTGTAATAAAGGAATAAAGATTTACTATTTCTTGCATTTAAACACTTACTTTGTGTAGTCTTAAAACACTGCTCTCTCTAAATCTTGAAACTTTTATGCAAGGTTTAAGAACTATGCAGTTGAAGCTACCATGATGAAGCAGTCAAAAACTTGAGTAATAAGGAATGTTTATACTTTGACTGAACTGGACCATGGAAGACAGCAGAGGCCTCTGGGCAGATATGGTGTCATTTCATACCATTAAACTGAGTATATGTAACCATGTAGGAAAAGCTAGTTCCAGCCCTATCAACACAGAAAGAGCATTTTCCTCAATGCTCTTTAAAGCCCAGAACCACCTTGTAATCACAACTACAAACCAGAAACTCTAAAAAAAGCACAATTTAAAATTAACTTCCCTTAATCTTTCATTTCCAAATAAATAGATTATAAGACAAAAAGACAAAATGTATATAAACTTACAAGCAATGGGATAGCCATTCCTTCCTGCACATGCCGCTGCCAGTGTTCTTCCGTCGTGAGAGAAGCGGATGCAGAAGCAGCCCATATCTCCACCTCGCAGGGAAAACAGGTGCTTGTTGGGTATGCGGCAAGCCTGGCTTTTCAGGGAACAGTTGGTAGGAATATTAACTATCCAATGTGTGGAACACACCCCTAGCTCCTGACATGCAAAAGTTCTAAAAGGCTAATAGCATCTTAATGGCATTCCAAAGTAAAATTCAACATATTATAAACAGTCAGTTTTGCAGCACATCCTAGGCCCCATGAACGTAAATCTCTTTCTGCCCCATTATTACAAACAACGAGCAAGTTTAAAAAACCTAAAATAAATTTAAACTGAAATAAATTCCTTAATCTTAAAAAATCCTTAATAATGCCTACCATCAATGATGTAAGCTGTGGAGTTAGACTGTAAGTGAAGCTTGTTTAAGGAGTCTAAGCACAACTTTTAGTAACCTAATGACTGTAGTGTGAACTCAGAAACCAAACTACCGGCACTCAAGCTTTTGGTCTTCTACCAAATCATTTTAACATTCCTTATCTGTATTTAAATATCTGACTTTTAAAGACAGAACCAGGGATGAAACATTTCAAAAAGACTGAACTGGTATTTTAGACCCCTTTCCCTTCTCCCAACATATTACCTCTTTTTGAATGGCTTTTTCTACAAAACTAAATTCAAGTTTAAGGTGAAGAGCAACATCAACTAGCTAAGTGCTAATGCTCCCTCAATGTAAGCTCTGTCATAGTTTAAAAATTTCTTCAACAAACAAAAAGAAAAGTCAAGGAAATATATTTCTAATCCAGCTGAAATCTGCCAACTGGCTTCCTCTCTTACTTCCATTACCCAAATTACCCTACTCTCTAAAACTCTTAGAGAATTCTTCAGATAAAAATACCTGGCTGTTCTGGTGAAAAAATGGTTCAATCAACCCTATTTGCTAAAGTTAAGCCTCCTCTATGATCCATGAGAGTTTTTTATCTTTTGTTTAATATCTTTGCTAAATATTTTAATTAATTACTTGCTTCATAATACTTATAAAAATATAGTAAAAATGTAAAATATTTTCATTTAAATTTCAAAGAAAAATGCTTCACCTGTCCAGGCAATCTTGACCATTTAAATGGCTCTTTTTTCTCCTCTGAAGGTTCACAACCTTCTCTCTGGAGTTGAGACAGTGCTGTATTACTTTGTTCCTGCTGAACAGCTGCCATAGAGTGAAAAGAAGGACCGACCTTAAGGCAAACAAAACTAAGTATCAGGAAAAAATATTTTTGAAGTGAACAATGTGATTTCTAAATGTCTTGCATTTTTATATCTGGAACAGAGATTGGAAAAGCTTAATACATGAAAACTGCATTGCAAAATGTCATTTAAAGTAACCAGGAAATCATAAGTAAATTAAATGGTATCACAATTTTTTTAAATAATCAATAATCTCCTATTTTTAGTAACTCTCAAGGTCAATGAAAATTAGAATTACTCTACTATTGTACTGTACTACTGAGAAGGTGCACATCTCACCAGGCCTTCATAGTAAAAAAGTGACAGGAAGAAAGTATTATTACAGCTCTAAATACAAATGGGAAATTATATAATAGAACAATATGGTACTTGCATTGGAGAAAATGCCATATTTATCTTGAATGCCCATCCCAGCACATACCAGTGTAAGGCTATTTTTAAAGAAGCTTTCATTTGTGAAAAAAAAAAATACAGCTCAATACAGCTAGAGGGTGCAGGGGAGCAAAGTTAAGTAACTTGAATCTTTTCTTAAAGACTTTATACACCTGCATGAGTTCAGTGACTTAAAAATGGCATTTCTGATAATAAGAAGGGACTTTAGTCTCCAAGAAAGTACTCTGAAAGTTTTCTGACTGTCAGTGACAAAATATTCCAAGTTGCAGGTAGAAAAGCAAGCCTATTTTTCAAAGATACCTATGAAGGGCTGAGTTTGAAACACCTATCTTGAGATGTAACATTCTTATTGTGTACTTTATATAATGCATATAAGCACAGCTTTTATATACATGCATACAAAAACAGACTCACATGCTCTATCTAGGTACTAGTTCCTACAGAAAAGCCTGCATATTTGCAAATATGTTTATATTTTATATATTTTACTTACATGATCTGGCAGTTTTAGGCCTTTTACAGTTACATATAAAGTTGATGGGTAACGATTTCTAGGACATTTTGCCCACCAGTCATAAACTTCAACAACCTTTGAATGTGACTTGGTCCTTGAAGGTGGGTAATATAATTGCAGACGAAGTTTTCCACCAATGTTTAGAACTCCATTTGCACCTACAAGCTGGAAGGGTGATTAAAAAGACGAAAGAGGAAGAAAGATGAATACAAAAGTAATTGATAATTTCTAATATCTTAACTACCAGTATAAACTCCTGAAATCCACCTCCCACTGCAGAAATATACTAACTCTAAAAGTGATAATGAACTAAGCATGTATTTAATCCTCCCAGGATCAAGTAATGAAGATTAAATTTTAGATGGCAACCTAGTTTCAAAAGATGCTTCACAGTAGTAAATATCTTGAAAGCGGGGAGACCTCTGCAGTACCTTTTTTCTTTTTTTATCTACTACTTGCTAAAATCAACCAAATCTCAAAGGACTGCCAATCCATGAACAGCTTCTACCAAATATGTCCTCTTTGAATGCTGTAATGAAGGACATTGGTAAGGCTTTGGTTCAGAGCAGAAGATGCAGGAATGTAGTGACCTCTCCAACTTCAGAGGAGACAGAGTTCTCTCTACTGAACTGAAAAATAGCAGAAGTACCTACTGCCATTAACACTGATCACCGGTGAATCAGGACATTTCTACATCAACTGATACCAACGAAAGGATAACGCAGGCAGGTGCAGTAAGAATGAAGAACAGGCTATAATTTTATTCATATTTATGAGCTGAAAATTTGTTCTTTCCTCTGTTCAGGAGTAGGCTGTACTGAATGCCTGGATGCTCAGTTCCTACAGCTCTCCTAACAGACACGGGACAGCAGGCCCCTGATTGTGGTAGATTTATCCTGGGCAGAGCTAAGGAGAATCTCTGTATTGAATTGCTATGGAGGCTCCCATTCCTTCACTTACAGCAGCAATCCATTACCTTCTCCTGTATTTTTCACATTTCCTCCATGTTGTGGACTGCTCAATGATTGTAAATGATTATCACACACAGGGGTAGGTGTAAATAAAGAATCCTCAGGGAAATTGCAGTTTGTGTCAATTAGTTCTCAAAGAACTAATTGATACATGCAAGTCTCTCTTAAAAGGGTAGAAAAGAATGTGCTGGCTGAATTACCCATATCTAACATTTGGCACGTTTGTACCTCAATTGCCACAGCATTTAAAACTCTCCTACTGAAAATGAGCAGCATTCTATAATTAAGTTAGAGAGTCTTTTCAAAGACTGGACAACTGAAAATGCCACTAGAATACAAAACAGCAGAGGTACAGAAATTTATCATTTTCTTCACAATCACAAACACAAAGAAAACCTTAAAAGGAAACAATCTTCTGTACTTTACGAAGAAACAAAAAATCTTACAAATTCTATACTTTCTTGAAAAACATATTATTTAATGTCAAGCCTGTTACTATGTTGATGCCATGGAGTGGAAGAAGAGGAAAAGGAGAGAACAAGCAAACAATGATTTTTTTTCCATCTCTGTTGCTGAAAATATTTTAAAATTCTTTCCTACTTGGTACAGTTAGAGATTTTCAGCTAAAAGGATTTATGAATTTTGTTTCTTTATTTAAATATTTACAGTACCTTTAGAAACGCCCAACAGATTTTTCGGTAACGACCTTCCTGAATTTTTACATCAGAGCTGGCTCTCACTTCATGCATACTTGAAGAATCAAGGACCTAAAGTATCAGCAGGAATATAAATGTATTTCTAATGAATGTATAATTCATGGTAATTTAAAAAAAAAAACTGCTAAAAATATGCTTGGTCAAATCCATTAAATTAACAGATTTGAAAAAAACAGGTTTTTTTCCACACAAGTATGAAATTAGAAATTACAGTTCCTTATGCATTTATCTGATTATTTATGACCTACATTGAAAAAGAACAGAAGTCTAGTCTTAAAAAAACTTATTCTTGCTCCCCTTACGTCTCAATAAAAGACAAAAAACAATAATATGTAATTTTCTTAATAATTCAGAAATCATTTAGATCACAAATCTGACAGCTAAAACCAGCTGCATATTAATCTAGATGGAAAATCACAGTCAAGAATTTAGTTTTCCTTTCCTAGCTTTATCAGTTTTGTCATTGAATCAGTCATAGAACATTTTGGGTTGGAAAGAACCTTCAAAGGTCACAGAGTTTTGAGCCATGGGCTTGGACAACTTTCACTAGATCAGGCTGCTCAAAGCCCTATCCAACCTGGCCTTGAAGACTTCCAGGGATGCCTACGAATCTTCATTTTTCTGTCAGGGACCTGAGTTTTCCCACTATTTCACTACTCCTGGAAGTTTACCTGGTATACAAAAAACCCTTAAAATAATACTTTTTTCAAACTCATATTTCATAAATCATACTGAAGTCAAACAGCCTTTTTTCATACTTTTGGTTCCAACACTATTTCCATGAAGAATCTTTACATAAAAACACAATTAGTTTTGTGTTAAGAAATTAATGATTCTTAATTCTATGACTATGTTAATTTACAAGCATCACAAAACATTAAGAAACATACAGCAAAAATTTATATTCAATCTATTTGAAATAGGAAAAAAAAAGGAACAAAACATATTTATTGTATTAGGTTTTCATTTTTATGTTAATGCTACAGAATCTCTCTGTACAAATATTGAAATGCCTAAGCTAAAAATTACATGGAATATATAACCTAAATTTTTTTCTTTAAACATAATTGTATTAGAGGACAAATTAATAATTTCTTTATGAAGACTAGGACAGGAGAGATAGATGTATAAAATGTTAATAGAAACAATGCAATTGCAGTTTGCTCATTGGTACAATGAGGTGCTGCTACATGCTGAGAATTCTACCTTTGAGTTTCTTGTACTTAAACCTCTATTCAGATTTCAAGAATGTGAAAAGAATGATATCCACCATATCTTACCAGCCTTCCTCAGAAGTCTGAGAGCTGATTTTATAAGAAAAATACTTCTTGTTACTTCATACTTCTTGTTACCATAAAACCAGGATCCTTTTCTATAAAAAACCCCATTTTTTAGTATCTCAACTTGACATTGTACCATAAAGCTATGCTATGAACCCAATTTAACTGAAACAAAACACTTGATTCAGCCAAATATATACTGCTGCAGAAACAAACCAAAAAACAGAACGTGCATAAATTGGATGCAAAATATTTCATCTTACCTCAAAAAACAGGATAACGTGAGGGTTTTCCTCAGTGTTCTGAATAAAATAAGTAAAACGCTCATTAAATATTACTTGTTCTTCCCACTCTGGAATTGTTGATTTAGACTTTCTAAAGTCACATGGTTGTGTCATTACAGGAAGAATGTGCTCTATTTCTTCTTGTTCATAAGATGAATCTTCCTTCTTGCTGTTTGAAGATTTCCAAAGAATTACAATTGTTAGAGCATTTAAAAAATAACCTTGAACAAAACAATATTTTTAGTTACTGAAAGCTAAGAAACATGTAAGATACTATTTGTCTGATTCTAGAAAAAATTTTCTAAATTCACCAAAAAATTAAGACAATTTGCAATGTATACAGAAAAACTACAGGCTGAGGTTGAAAATCCTAACAATTAAATTACTGTTAGTAAATTAATGCATAATGATCATGGTGGAGTCTACTGCTTAAGCCCAATTAAAATTTGGTTTCAGGAAAATAGTGGATAATGACAGCAGAAACAAGCAACTGAAGTAACTAGAAATAAAAAGAACTAAACTTCATTTAAGGAGTTTAAAAGTTCTTAATATAAAAGACAGACACTATTTATACTACAAGAATTTAGCTTACATGTTCTTGGCTTTTATACATTTTTGATCCTTAAGAAATTTTGCCTCTGGGAAGAATACAGTTGTTGGAAATGTCACAGATTCACAGAATAAGCTGAGTTGGAAGGGGCCCACAAGGATCACCAAGTCCAACTCCTGGCCTTGCAAAGCACCATCCCCAAAAATCACTCAATGTGCCTGAGAGCACTTCCAAATGCTGTTTGAAAGCGCTGCTTGAACTCTTGTCAGGTTCGGTGCTGTGACCACTGCCCTGGGGAGCCTCAAGAGTAATACAGCAGTGCAGAGCATTTAAAAGTGCCAAAAGGAAAAGCAAAATATCACCCTCATTTATTGTGTGTATATATATATATATATGTATGTATGTATATATATGTGTGTGTGTGTATATGTGTGTGTGTGTATATGTGTATATATGTATATATATATATACATATATATAACATATTATCATAGATGTAGAAACTAACAAACAGCTACACAAGTTTATTTTTTTCACACAAACCATTGCTTTAATTTTCACTTTAATTTTGTAGGGAAGAGTATACCTATTTATTGTAATCAGTAATAATAGAAACAGTTTATTAAAAGTCACCTGTAATCCTTCTTCACATATAAGCCACTTCTCTGATCAACAATATGGATTTTAACCACAGGATGAGATACCAAGTGATCAATTTTAAGTCTATCCGATCGATGGATATAAACTCCCAAAACAAGATCATCGCCAAAACCAAATTTAGACTGAGTTGAAATTTCTGAATTCTTCATTTCCTCATCATTTTCTGCAGCAACTTCCATGGTTTCTTCTAGAAATTGGAGCAAAGTAAACAAGCTGTCACTAATGGGACATAAGTAACTTCTGTCTCAACTCAAAAATACTTACTGTAAGTGTATTTTCAAGATTTTAGATTGATTTATCAAATAAACATCCTAACATAAAAGCTTCAGAATTGGAAGAACAGAGGTACAATTGAGTAACTTAAGAAATATAAGTAACTCAAACAACTCAATCAATTCCATGTTACTACTATGGACAAATATATCTGTAGCAGCACACAAAAAAAAGGGCAGCAAAGTAGTACAGTATTATAATAGTATAATAGTACAGTATTATAAATATTTGTTGGCAGACCTTTTCTGGTTTTCTTCTTAACCTTCTTGGCTTTAGATTTCTGTTTATCCATGCTTTCCTCTGGTTTCTGTCCTTCTGAGGTAAATAGCCTTTCAGGTGACTGATTTTCATTGCCACCTTCTTTTGGATGATGCCACAGCTCAGAAAGGGACATTGCACTGCAAAGTAATGGATCACTGTCAGCAACTGCAGACTACTGCACATATTGATACAATTACTCATTGCCATTGTTAATCCACTTGAAATTTTGCAATTCATCATCTATGTATCTTGAAAACATAACAGTCCCCAGCCCTATTAGTTTCTTGTCTTTTTCAGTGCTCTCCCCTCTTCCTTTGTCCCTAATTTCCAGACAATTGCAGAACCATTTATGTGAAGAGTTAAACAAATACTCTTTTGCTGGATCAGGGCTACCACTTATTATTAAAAAAAATCATGCACAAAATGATCTTAAGTTAGTTAAGAGTGAGTTCCACAGTAAAAAAACATCAAATAGCAATGAAGACTATTAAAAAAAAAAAATATTAAAAAGAATCCATGAGCTAAATATTAATCATGACAGCCTTTTGAGAAAGGATTTAGTACTATCTTTTTCATAACAGAATCAGCCAGTTAATCACTTAGAAAATATGAACAATTTATCAGAAAGCTGCTGCCTATCTTAAAATGAAACATTTTGTTTAAGATTCACAGACACAATGTGTACAGTTTGTCATGTTACCTTGTTTCAGCTTCACTTAAAACTGCTCGCTCTTTCTTCTTTTTCTTCTTTTTGCCCGCTTCATTATTCAACGCAACTTCATGCCTTTGAACAGTGGAGGTAGATTCAGACATCTGTTCTTTAAGTTTCTTTCTCATTTTCTTTTTAATTGCATTTGCTTCCTCCTCAGCCACATGCAGCTGATAAGCTTGAATTAGCTGCTCTTCCTCTTCTAATTCAGTTATATTTCTCACTTCAGTCAAGGAATTTTTGATCTTTCTATCACCTTCTTGATGAGGTACATCTGTTTGTGATTTACTTTTTGTTTTCTTCTTTGGAAAATCATTAATCTTTTCTTCAAAACTCCCCAATTTAGTTTCATATAAATATTCCTCCTCATTAAATTGTTCTTGTAACAGTGATTTCTTCTTCTTCCTGATTGACTTTGGCTGCTCATTCTCTTCTCCACTAACAACATCGTTGTTTATTTTCTTTGCAATTGACGCTTTCTCTCTCAATTTATTTTTTGTAAATCTTGGGCTCTCTTCTTCAGGATTATATGTGTTGTTTATAATTGCTTCATCATTCACACTTTCCTTAGATAGATCAATATTATTTCTAAAGGTATCAAGCTACAAAAATAAAGAACATGAAACATATTTGTACTAAAAACCATATTCCAAGGATAAACACTGCCCTTCATGTTATTCTTTCAGCAACATTACTCAATCTTAAATTAAATCAAAGATCTAATTATTTTGTTGTTTCAATTTGACAAGTGAGAGATTAAAAGTCAACAGAAAATTCACACTCAAAAAAAACATTTGTTGTTTGGGCATCTCATCCTCAATGTTACACTGTTTTCATATGACATTTACATACATCCACTAAAAAAAGGAAATCAACAAGCCTACTCCATAAATGAATGCCAGTGTTTTACACTATGGAGGATGAGAAGACTTCATGTACCACAAAAACAGACACTTTCATCTACTGAAAATCCAAGTTAGAGACAGATTTCAGGCTCAGTTGTTTGTAGTCTCTTATACTGAAAGCTGCTTGTCAGAACTAAATTTCACTTCTCAATGGTTTTACAGAAAACACATCGTAAAGTTTCCTGTCCTTCAAGTTTCTATTTCTGATTACTAAAGATTATAATGTCACTTCCCTGCCTCCTTGGATATGTTCAAGGTCAGGTTGGAAGGGGCTCTGAGCATCATGATCTAGTTCATCATCATCAAGATGTTCCTGATCATGGCAGACTGCTTGGGTTAGATCACCTCTAAAGTTCCTTTCAATCCAAACTAAGATTCTATGATAATGGCAAAGAACACAGCAAATAACTGAAGTCTGATTCTATAAGGTCAACACAGAATAATTTATCTTCATTGATGTAACTTTCATAAAGTTACTGAGGTTCATTTATGCTGTTGTCTTACAGAACTCTCTTAGAGCCTGTAATATGAAATAATATGAAGAATATGTAATATGAAAAAATATGAAGCATTAGAAAGGGCTTTAAAACACAGAAAAAGCAAATAAAAAAGTTTGGAGAAAATATACATATCTGCCTACAAAGTTTTATTTCCCAAGAGCTTCTTCCTCAATAAACACAGACATTGTTCCTTTCCAGTCAGGATACATCTTCCAGTTAAAGAATCATGTTTGTCTCAAAGATTTGTAAAATGGGACAATATGTATAATAAGTATGAAAAAATTGTCCTTGTATTTTCATCTTATACTTGCTTAAAGAAACCACTAACATCATATTTATTTGTAAGTCAATGATTCAAGATGATATGGAAAATTTCATATAAATAACTTGAAATACAAAACAGAGTAAGGAAAATAAAAGAATTAAAGAGCAAGCTTTGTATAAACTATGAAAAAAAACTCAAACAGAATAATGTTCCTAACAAATTGGTCACTTCCTTATCTTTATTTCTGTGAATAACTTTAACTGTAGAGTATTAGAAATGAAGATTAAAACACATTGACAATTAAAACCCAACAGTGGCTGAGGTCATGCTGATTTTTGTTTTTGATAAAACATCTATCCACTAAGTTCAAGTAGTAGAATTATTTGAGAAATCCTAAACAAAAAGCCCTCTTCTATGACTTGGTCAAGAGTTTCTAAAATAACTCTGATATTCAAGAATAATCTCCTTAAAGGAATCTACCTGTTGCAAAAACTGGCTTGAAATACTTACTAGAACTTGTTATTTACTATTGCCTAAAAACAAACAAACAAAAAAAAAATCATAGATTCATAGAATCACTCAGGTTGGAAAAGACCTCTAAAATCATTGAGTCCAACCATTAACCCAGCACCACTAAACCATATCCCCAAGTGCTACATCCATATGCCTTTTGAACAGTTCTAGGGATGGTAACTCCATCATTTCCTTGGGCAGCCAATGTCTGACTCTCAATGGAAAAGTTTTTCCTAATATCTAAGCCTCCTGTGGTACAACTTGAGGCCATTTCCTTATAATGAAAACAAACCACAGTCTCAAACTACAGCAAATTTCAGGAACATTAATAGATAGATACTGCAGGCAGCACAAAGCTGCTTCAGCAGTTCAAACAAAAATTCCTCAGATAAACAGCCTGTATGATCTCAATTCTGGCCACCTTTCCCACATGCTGTAATTACATGACAATTAAACAGAGAAGAGAGATGCAGAGAAGTTACAAAACAATGAAGTAAAAGCCAAGGGGTTCAAAAAAACCTTAAGATTAGGATTCTGGCAGAGGTGGAAATATTGGTATAGATTCTCTGAAATACAGTACTGAGAGATATCAACTAAGAGCAATCATCAATACATAAACACTGAACTGAATTAAAGAAAGGATTTAGGCTGGAAAAGCAGCTCAGTAAGACAGGCCTGTCTCCGGAGTAACTTCAGAGGGTTGCTGACCTGAACCTGACTTTCTCAAAATACAGAACAAATAAAGCTGTTTCAAAACAGCTCTGTGGCCACATTACACCAGGGTAGAGGAAGCACTCCTCCCTGAAAACAGCCTTGCTTGCACTACTGGCTTTAGAGGAGCAGGGGATGGGCACCAGCTGGGATGCACACACGTGGGCTGACACTCAAGGCTCACACCACAATAAATCAGTCACAGGTCACACCACTGCCATTAATGCCCCAGAGCTGATAGCAGGGACAACGCCCAAGGATCTCACACCTTTTCAAAAGGACTTCTCAAATACGCATGAGTGGAAGCTGGCAACGTATAGAGTGAGTTTGTCATGGGTATTTGGAAACTTGTGTAACCTGATTTACGGAGGTACCTGAATTTCCACGCATAATAATACAGGCACACCTTGAAAAATTAGGGATGGACACTGCCAACTCACTGAAGCGCTGATATGTACTGGTTGTAAAAGACCATTAACCTACAGCCAAATTGCTAATGAATGTACTTGGGATGATGGCTTGTTGGGTGGGATGTTTAAGAAAATCTTAATATACTAGGAAACCAGTTTTACTGCCATTGCTTGTGTAAGGCTATAAAATATAGACACTCAAAGCTAGAAGAACTTTAATTTACAGATAAAATGGTGGGCTTGGAATTTTTCCACCAAATCTAACAGAAAACAGTGAGAAAACGTGTGGATCAATTATATAGTCAACTATTATCAATTCTCCTATTTCATGCACAAGAAAGAAAGGTGTAAAATCTAATGGAAATCTCAACAATTATTCAGTGCCTTTCAACCTACAAGACAGATAAATCTATTGCTGTTCTGCCTTGAAGTTACCAATGCCTGTCCATGCCAATATTGTAATCTGATCAGACTACAGTCTAAAAAAGAAATTTTTGCCTCCATAGTGGGATCTAATCTTTTCATCAGGTAGAAAATTTTTAAACATCCTCTTTTCAACCACAGAATTTAGATTGAACCAAATCAATCATTTTCATGATGAATTTAGACAGATCCATGTACCTAGACATTGCCTGATTTGCAGTTTGCCTCACTCTAAGTTGGAATAGGAGGCACAGTTGATAAAAAATAAATATTATGACAGCCCTAGAAGGGATATTGGCTAATTCATGTTCTGACTGTCTCAATTGCTTGTTTTTTCCACTATGCCTCTAGGCCTCACACCCACTGCCCCAGTGGCTATTTGCTGAACAGCAAAGCAGAGCTTTCACTGGCCACAGCTGATGTGTATTTCCATCTCCATTACAAGCTCTTCATTCCTTATCAGTTGTGGCTCCAAACTCATCCTGCCCTATAGACATCAACCTTTCCTCTTCCAAGCAAACTCTTTCCCTGCTGTCAAGGCAGGCTCTCCAAGCAATAGGCACACAGAGCAGAGCAGGCAAGCAGGCAGGCACTCCTCTTATCCTCACTTCTGTCATTTAAGACCACAGCAACCCCCTGTAGCTCCAGAACTCAGGTTTCAAAGAAACAGTGGACTATAAGGGAAAAAGTCTTATTAATCTTTAAGAAAGGCTAGAGTGAAGACAAAGGAAGGAAATAGACTGGAACATTTCAAGTGGAAATAGGCTCTGAATCATGACCTGGTTTTGATCAAAGCTGGGAGACCATTTATGGGAAGTGTTTGACACGAAGCCAACCATCACTGACAAATTTCACGTTATTTCAAGATATGTGAAACTCTGTACAGTTAAATCATATGAACTGAAGAAAATGGGAACAAAACCAGCCAACCTCCTCCATCTACCTACTCTTCTACTCCCACACACATTTATTTTTTTACAGAGAAATGACTGTTTACTTGCTGAAGCTTTTACAGAAACTGCTATTTGAAAATACCAACCTGAGCTCCTCCAACTTTGCCATGCTTTAAGGAAATACTCCTAATGGTCAGTAATAGTTTCAATACAAGCTCTCCTCAAGTCCCTAATTTTTAAGTGGTTTAATTTGTAGTATTTTTACCTTCAACAAAGCTAGAAATCTGGCTTCCACACTGATCTAAAAATGCATCTTAATTTGTTTGCATACCACTGAGTTTTGATTCAGGTCACTGTGATATTACGTGTTTCTACATAACACCAAAACATGAGTGTTTTGCATCAGAGACCTCTGGAATGGAAACCAATTCTAAAACCAAAGCAAGTTTAAAATATTTATGAGTAATATGTAGTGGCATATGAACATACAATTATGTGTTCAAAAATACTTATATATTACAGAATCGAAAATTCACAATTCATAAAAAGTGAACTTAACTGAGGAAGAATTGTCTTTTATTTACATATGTGCCAGTAAATAAGGAAAAAATCACCTTCTAACTCTCTGTACTATTTTTAGACATCAAGTTGATTCTTTGTATGAACTATTGACTAAATAGCATATACATCAAAGAAAATACATTTTTTAAAAGTCCATACAAAATCCAACTTCAAATTGTCAATCTAAAACCAAATATTTAGCAATACTAAGTTTAATGTATCTATTCTAAATATACTTAATATATACAACTACATGTAACATCTATGATATTACACGAAATACCACTCATTTGTCTTAAATAAGTATTAATGAAGGAACATTCACTTCCAGGATCTGATATAGACACATTTGTAAGAAAAAAAGACTGAAAATATAAAACCTATCAGGAGGAAAATAAAAAACCATTGTCTTCTAAATAATTTACTTTCTTTCCAAATTCCAAATCTTCTAAGTCAATAATCAGGTATTACAGAACAAGTTCATGTTGAACTCTTATTCTCCTCTTCAGGAAAAAGACTACAATGTGAACCATAACTCAGAGGGATTTCTGAGGCTCCTTTAGTGACAGATATGCCACAAACAAAAATGTCATCTAACTATAAAGTGTGGGTGATAGAAGCCTTCCTAAGCTGCAAATCACAAGCTAAGGTCAAAATCTTTCAAAACTTGACATGGAACCTCTCAAGACACAAAGCTCAGCACATGCAGAAACTCACTGATTACTGAGATTAAAAAAAAAAAAGTAGAAAATTGAATCATTAATTATTATGTCTAATATTATTATACTTTCTCATCAGTTCTCAATTCACAGCTGTATTAGACAGATATACCTGTATTACACAGATGTAGTACTCTCAAAATTAAATACTTTCACAGCTGTAATTCTACTAGCCCTTAAACATCTAATTAACTCACAGTAAAGTCAGTACTGAATTTGAAAAATTTAATGAGAAAATGGTATGGAAAAACAAGTACTGGTGGACATTAAGGAGTGTACACCTACATGTGCCACTTTTTTTTCACCAGTTGATACAATTTTGGCATACCTCCAAGTTAGAAGGATGCTTTTGCAGGTACACAAAAAAGAAAATAAAACCCACACCAAAACTAAGGGGCACATGCAGAAACATACTTTACAATTATTTTTTTTAAAAATGATTACATCTCCTTTCTGCAATACATTTTCCTGATTATTTTTCTGTTAAGGAAGGCAACCAAACAAAGCCTGAATATGTTGAAACTCACCACAATGCTCTCTTGAGAGTCAAACTTCTTTTTCTTCAATTTCTTTGTGTCTGCTAAGTCAGCATGGCGTCTGAAGATCTCCTCAAAGCGGACTTTGGTTTTTGCCTTTGCCTCACTTTCAACTGCAAAAAGAAATTGAGAGTATTATTTGCTATCTCAGTAATCACCATTGCTAAAAAGTGCATAATTATGCTTTAAAATCACAAAGAATGAGAATTATTTATCAGAGAAAGTTTACCAAGAAATTCACTTCATATTCAGTTAAGAATTTCTACTGGTAATATAACCCATACAAGGTTAAGTCAGCAGCTTTGCACAGAGACCTACACACCAGTCTTACTCTTGTTGCTAAAGTCAGCACCATCTACTCTGTCTCCTGAAGAAAGCACATTTGGAAGAGAACATGAAATTTATGGGCATGTTTTCATGGTGTTACATGAAAACAACTGTTAAAGTTAGATAGAAAAGCTAAAAGTTTAAGTGTGTAGATCAGAGAGTTTTCTTAAATCACTGGGTGAAAAAGTTAGAGTTTAAACTAGTTTAGAAAGCAGAAGACAAAATGGAGGATTTAGAGTGTTGTCTCTTTTCTTCTTCATGTTCTTCTAGAGGTTTTTGAGTAATAGTAAGTGATTGGATAGAAAATTCCGCAGTGCAGTACACAGGTGTTGTGTCATTGGGTCATTAATAAAAATAATATACGTGTATATTGTTAATTGGATAAGAATAAGTATAAAGATAAAAAGGCTACACAGTTCAAGGCCATTCTGTGCCATCAGAGCCGAAATGTGCCAGGTTGCAGTGAATTAAACTAGTGCAGAAAATCTGGAGAGACCTGCCAAGTTTTGTGATAATATCCTAATAAACACGAGAAAGAAGATCCTAACAGGCTTTGGAGTTTTCTTCCTGACCCAGAAACTGAGATAAATGGAACTCCCCGTGAGGGAGTAGTCCAAAAGAGCTCAGCTCAGAAGAGACTGAGAAATCCAGGAGTGAAAAGAAGCACAGCAGAATCAAGAGAGAAAAACAGAATAAAAAATGTTATAAAGATCAGCACAAAACTTGGGCTAGCCAAAGCAGAGGACAGACTACTGCCCTCCCTGCTTTGAGGAGGTGACACAGTCTTCCAGGAGAAGCAGCAGCTCTGGGTTCTTACTGGGTCTGAACACCAGAGCAGCACCATCCTGAGACAGATCTGTAAGAGCCAGAAGCTGGCACTCTTGCCTTTCTATGAACCCCAATACTGCCTTTAGCAGCATTTCAACCCTTGAAGTAAGTGTTCTAGTTCCCCTCGGGTAATGCTTAATTTGTAACTAAGAATTCAAAATGCAACCTGGCACAACACCGAGAACTTCCGTTGAATCCTCAGCTACAGCATAATTACCACTGTCATGACAACTTTTATAAATTTAAATTATTGAATAATAATATTGAATTAGATATATATATATATATGATATTGAATAATAATACTGAATTTAAATAAAAAAAATAACACCATTTGCAAAATCAGCTATAGTCATGAACTCAAAAAGGAGCCAATGGAGCATTAACGATTTATATAGGACAGAAATAATTTCTATCATTTGCACCTAGTTCTTACTATAAAATATGTACTAGAAATCAAACAAAGCATCCTTACCTGCTCGCATTTTCAGTCCTCAGTTAGAAGTGGCTCAACACAACAGCTGCTTCTTCCTCAGAATTCAACATTCTATTTAAAGTATTTAATAACTGTCATTAACATAAGTGGTCCATAGACTTCAAGTTAATTAGATCTATGCTAATTAGCATTAGGAATGAGTACATTTTATTTAGAAATAAGTATTTCCCTATTTGACTAAAGTATTAGAAATTTTCTGCTATCAAATCCCAGCTCTGATACTTATTATTTGACAGGTAAATAAAAAACATTACAGCAATTTAATTAGTTATATTTCTGGGTAGTAGCCAAATAATTCAGGACTGTAGTCCTCCAATTTTCCAAAAATTCCTCCAAATCAAATCCTCCAAAACAGTTTATTTAAATAATAATGATCCATAAAACCATTTATGTTGAAGCCTTTCAAATCAGATTCCTCTCCTGAAAGCATCACTGAGGAAGCCAGATGATAGTTTTCAATGCAAAGGTTAGTATCTGCCAGCAAATCTAACGTTATTACAAATCTCTAAATATTTATGTTTATATAAAGCATTTGTAATTGTTATAAAGCAGACAAGCAACTACATGAAACTCATTTCTCCCAAGAAAAAAACTGTTAGGCCCTCCTGGTCATGGAGAAAAGCCTGCAAACGCAATCCAAACAAAGCTTGAAGGCAAATAAAAGTATTACACAGGTTTATCTTTTCATCAAAAAAATTCAGGATGTTCTACAAAAAAACTTCAATACAAAGAGATGTTTTATAAACAGTGGAACTAATGAAGTTCCTATGAAGGTGTGATGTTCCCCTTAGCCTTCCATGCAAGGAGCTCTGGTACCTACGTCCTCCACAGCCCACCAGGTATCCGCTCCAAGTTCTCCCCAGGTTACACTTCCTGTTAGACACCAGTAACTCAAACTCACTGCACACCCAGACTACACCGATCCTAACAAATTAAGACATAGCATTAAGCACTGCCAGGATGTGTGGTTGCACTATTCTCACACAATTTTGGTCCAAGCCACCTAACACTCACCCAGACTATGCCTGCATACAGTTCATGAGTTATTATGGATTACTATAAATAAGCAGTTTGCATGCAGCTACTCTGATGTGAGGCTGAGAGAGCTGATTAGCAGTGAAGTGAGCCAAACATAGCACTTGGCCTCAGCATCAGAATTCTCTCCTGGGCACGCACATTTCACCAGCACAGGAAGGAGCTGAGGCTATACTTGGGTCCCCCAGTATCTGCATCACCCTACTCTCTCATCTCTTGCACAGCATTACTTGCACAGGCCTGTTACTTTCAGGTCCTTTCACATTCACTACTTACAGTGCTTTGGTCTGCGGGCTATCAGAACTAAACCAAATGAAGGAAAAAAAAGCAAAGTGTTCAGGTTGGTTTGGGATTATAGATGAGCCGATTAGTCAGATGCCCAGAGCAATTAGTTTGCTTCCTTTATGTATATGCTTTTTAGCATTTATACTAAGTATCCAACAACCTATGGATGTTTCAAAAGAGCAAGGGCGGCCAAATGGACCTCACTGGCAGTAAGAAAATGTTTAGTTTTGCGATATGCTTGAAATGACACTGATGAGGTTGCAATATTTTCACTACCTAAACATGTTCTTACTCCTAAAGCAAAGTCTCACTGTCACAACTAAACCAGTAACTGTTAAAAATAGCACTTCTTACTATAAATTAAAAGAGAAAATACCATTGAAAAATAAAACTGTTTTTACAATTTATACTTGGCTAAACCAAGCGGGCATTTTAAAAGTACTGCAGTTATTAAGTGCTGCTTTGCAAGTGGCCAATTCACAATTGACTAGAAAACACATAATTTAGAAGAGCAGAAAAATAAATAAATTCAAAAAATAGAGTAGATTCTGTCACTTTAATCATTGACTGAGGATCACAGAAACATGGAAAAGTACCTTATAATAAGCTGATGATTTCAACAAGCCCTCAAAAACTAATTAGAAACAAGAAACAAAATACTGAAGGGCTCTTAAATTTAAAGCAAAAAATATGAGAGACAATATAGTACACAAAAGCAAAATTAAATAAGTGCATACCCATTCTAAGAATGGAAATAAGTTTCTGGTCAAAGGATAAATAAATTAGTACACAAAGAAAACCCAACAAAAAACAACCAACCTATAGGTTGATTAAAATATCAATTTTGCAGATAGGTTTTGATTTTAATGGAACCAAACATCTTACCAAAGGCTAGGCTCGCTTTGCGTCTACAAGCACTCTCTGTAAAATGAAGAATTAGCAAAGTTCACCAATGAGTGCATCACTGTTTGTTTATTTATTCAGTATTTACCCTGTTGTGGCAATAAAACTAAGAGATAAAGGCCTCTAAAGACAGTGCAATTGTTTAATAGGCATTTCCAATTTAGAACTTCATGGTCTTTGACATGGTGCATTAAAGCAGCTATCATGCTTGTGTAAATATAGATCATTAATCAACAAGGATAAGAACAAGGCTGTTTACTTAGTGTAATCGCACCTAAGGAGAGAATTAATCATAAATCAAAGTTGAGCAACCAGCATGCCCCAATCTGAGCAAGCTCAGTTATCATTAATTTTGTAAAACATGGGTTTTGCCTGATCAGATTGGATCTTTTCCATGCGAGTAAATATAAGAAAATCCAAGACTGACAAAAGCACATACTTGTAACAGTGACATAGTCCAGCCACCAGGAATAAACAGCAAAACAAATTCATAAAGCTCAAACTTCCAATTACTATACTTCCCTGAAAATAATCTAGTTTGCTCTTTTCTGAGTATTTTACAATACTCATTGAGTTGCTATATTCTACATCTGTAACACAGGGATTCTCTATGCTAAACATCCCACAATGGTCACTTTTATTGACCACTAATAAAAGATAAATCAAACCCACACTACAATGAGCAGAACATACAGAATTTGCACTGTGCAATGTGAAGTGAAAAATTTCCTACCTAAAACTAGGTAAAAACTTCCTACCTGGGAAACTGACCTGACAAAATAGTTGAACACTTAGGATTTTTCTGAACTAAATTCCTCTTTTTTAATTTTTTTTCGCAATAAGTGAGCATAAACTTCTGTGGCTGAAAACAAGTAGAACATCACGCCTTGTTTATTTCTCATCTTCTATTTCATAGAGGGATATCTTGGGTTTTACTAGTATGTTTCTAACTGAGCTATATGTAGGGATCATTACCCTGAGGTGTGAAAGAGCTTTAGCTCAGAATTATACAACAAAATTACACTGAGATGAATCTGTTCCTCTTCACTATTGACAAATCTGGTATCAAAAAACAATGTAGTTTTATTAATGAAAATTCAGTATTTAAGTCCAGAAAACTAACAGACCAGGTAAATTATGTAAAAACTAATAAAAGTGCAGTAGTTTTCTACCGGTTTAGATGTGCCAGTAAAAACCTTACGCTCATAGTAATAAAAAAGATGTTTTAAAAAGCTGGCGCTACCCTCAGTTTTCCAGTAGTAACATATCAGAAAGTTTTTGCTTCATAGGAATTGTCAGGTTGGGGTTTTTAACCCAGAAATTTGTCACCTTTCATCAAAAGAAACTTGCAGACTCTGATGGCAAAATTACAGACTTCAGTTCTATGGAAGGAAATATAGAAGACTTTTATTGTTTATAAAGTTTTATGTTTCTGCTTTATCTTAGATGCTAATTATGACAATGCATTCCCAGCAGAAGTATTTCCATACAAATAGCACGGATATTTCGACGCCCTAAGTATTTCCATTTCCAATGTGACATTCTGCTTTGCCTGGAAGAACAGTGGTAGATTTAAAAGGTATAAAGGGACATTCCGACCACACACCAAACCTGGACTAACCGATGGAATTATACAAGGAGGATGTGAAGCGCATCCAGATGCACATCCCCGGTTTGGAGCCCAGGGTGCCAGGCATGGAGAAGCACTGTATGTTCACTACAGTTGCCCACACGTGTCACCCCGGTGAGCTACAAAGCTCGTGAGGAGCCGGGGCGGGGGGGAACCAACACAGATCTGGGGATTAGGGCTTCCCGCAGCTCTGCCCCGTGCCGCCGTGCCGGGACGAGACCGCGGCTCGCCCTAGGCCGTCTGTTCCGCCCGCCCGGCAGAGTCACCACGGGGCTCCTGGCGGTCCCGCCGGCTGCGCCCCCCGCTCCCGCTG